TCTTTTTGAGACAGGGTCTCCCTGTAGCCCCAGCTGTTCTGGAACTCACTATGTAGACCAGGCTGGCCTTGAACTCCCAGAGATCTCCCTGCCTCTGCCTCCCAAGTGCTGGGATTAAAGGTGTGCACCACCACGCCCGGCAACACATTTTTTTTTTTTTTTTTAAGACAGGGCCTCATGTAGTAGCCTGAGCTGGCCTTGAACTTGATGTGTGACCACGGATGGGTTTGAACTTGCCATCTTCCAGCATCACTTCCTGACTGTTGGAATTAAAGCTATGTGACACCATACCCAGCCATATGCAAGGCTGAGAATTGAACCCAGGGCCTCGTGTATACTAGGCAAGCATTCTAGCAACTGAACTGCATCCCCAACCTGAGACAGGAGCTCTTTAGGAGTTGGGCAGACAGGACTTGGTAATGGATCTGGAGAAAGGTTCAACTGGGGTGATGTAGTGGGGTGAGTGTTGGATATAGTAAGTCGGAGATGACTCAGGGACCCAAAAGTAGGGAAAAAGCAACTTATTCCTCACTCTTAGCAAACATGCACCTAGTTTGATAGCTAATGTTTATAGAAGGCTTCTCTTCTGTCATAAAAAGGAAGTTGATAATGATTGTTTATTGGCCACTTATTGTGTGCTAGGCATGACTTTGGAGAACCTCACATGTATTCACTTCAAACTCACCTGTGAACGAGGCAGCTGCTCTGATCATCAGATCCACCATCCATGTGAGGAAACCGAGGGACAGAGAAGCTGAGTAACTGAGCCAAGGCCACACAGCTTGTGGCAGAGTGAGTGACTGAAACCATTCTCTCACCTGCCTCTGCCTCCTTGCTTCTGTGCAAGGGAGAAGGCTTGTGCCTGCCTGGGATGTAAGGCCTGGGGAACTAAGAAAGAGCAGAGGACAATACCTGGCTGGATTTCAGTTCTGTCTTTGCAGGGTTTTCTGTCACTGTCACCATCCTCTTAGCTCAATTTCATGTCCCATTAAATGGGAACCAGGGAAATCTTCCCATAGTGGTCTGGGTGGACACATGATCTGGGCCCTACAGAGATCCCTCTGGCATTCAGGGTGAAGGGTGGTTCAGAAGTAGAGTAGGCTGGGAAACAGGCACAACTGTGTCCATTGAGCAAGAAAGCAAGTAACACCGAGAGCCTTTATCAAGGCAGCTGAAGTGGGATTCAGTGGGGTGGGCTGACAGGGGAGGGATGGGAGCAGATCATGTACCAGTCAAGGATTTGGTCAGAGAACCGGGAAGAAACTAGTGCTGAACATCCCTTGAGCAGGCAGTGGCTGAAGCTGACCTGGTACCACAGGCACCCGTTTCCTTCTAGGCTCATGTCCAAAGGACCTGTGGAAACCATGTTCTCTACTCAAGCCTAGCTTTAGCCAGGCATCCCTGTCTCCATCTCCTTCTTCTCTTTCTTTTTTTCTCTTTTCTTTTTCTTTCTTCTTTTTTTTTTTTTTTTTTTTTGTCTTTTTGAGACAGGATCATCGTGTAGCCCCAGCTGTCCTGGAACTCACTATGTAGACCAGACTGGCCTTGAACTTACAGAGATCCGCCTACCTCTGCCTCCTGACCGCTGGGATTAAAGGCATGTGCCACCACATCTGGCCCTATCTCTTTCTCTAACCCCAGGTGAGCAAGCTGGAAAATACCCAAGACCTGACTAACAAATAACCCTCACTGGTTGACTGAGGGGTGCTCTTATAGAAGTGATTAGCTGGGAGAGCGAACTTTCTGAAGAGGACAATGGGGAGTCACTGAACAGTTTTAAGCAGGACAGGGACAAGATTTTATGTGTGGTGTGTGTGTGTGTGTGTGTGTGTGTGTGTGTGTGTGTGTGTGTGTCGGGTTTGAGACAGTCTCCTTGTAGAGCCAGCTGGCCTGAAACTTGCTATGCAGACCAGCCTGGCCTCAATCGCACAGAGATCCGCCTGCCTCTGCCTCCTGAATGCTGGAATTAAAGGTGTGCATTAAAGGTGTGCACCATCATGCCCACCACATTATATTAAAAACATTTATTGTTGTGTTTGTATATGATGTGTGTATATGTGTGTCTGTGTGTGTCTGTGTGTGTGTGTACATGTGTACCTGCCATAGCATGTATGTGGAGGCCAGACTATAACCTTGTGGGGATGGTTTGCTCTGTCCACCTTTATGTGTGTTCCAGGAATCAAATTCAGCTTATCAGCCTTTATTCGCTGAGCCATCTCACCAGCCCAAGATTAGAGTTTTGCTTTAAGAGCGCTTTTTCAGGGACTGGAGAGATGGATGGCTCAGTGTTTAAGAGCACTGACTGCTCTTGTAGAGGACCTGGGTTTGATTCCCAGCACCCACACGGCAGCTAACAACCACCCGTAACTCCAGTTCTAGAGGATCTGATGCTGTCTTCTAACCTTCTTGGCATTGCATGACAGAGGTTCATTCACATACAAGCAGGCAATATACTCATATACATAAAAATAATAAAGTATTTTTAAAAAGAGAGTGCACTTTTATCTTGGGGTTAATCAATAGCTACCTAATTGGACTTAAAGCCCACTCAGTGGGAGGAAACTCATGTTTGGTACTGTAAACTTAGCCAAATACACATAGCTGGAGAGGTCACAGATCTTAGAGAAAACCCCAAGGCTCTCATATC